GTGTATTGTGCCTTTGCTGATATGAGACGCACCTCAGAGAGGCTCAGAGAGGATTTAAACAGCAGAAGAACTTAAAAAAGAAATGTCAACTTAATTAACTTTTCAAATACTTTCATTCAAAAAGCATAAATGTAATATATTCTTGCATAATGACGAATCATTTGCCAGCAGGTGGGAGTCAATTTGTTTTACTTCTTTTCTTGTTCCACATATTAACCCGATAGTTACACGTAACAGTTGAGGAGCCTTTTGTAATATTAAACAAGTTATATTAATCTTAATTTTGTTTATGTGAAGATTCAGATATAAAATGCATGAAACATGATCCACATTTTACAAAGAGAAGCCTGGGGAAAAAGAAATTCAGTAATTTGTTGACCCTCCTGAAGCACATTAGCAGTGGAACTGCAGCTCACCATCGTTTACTTCTAAGAACTTTGCTCTTCTCACGGAAACATAAGGCCCCCAGGTGTCTGAGACAACAGCAGTAAACATTTCTATGACAGCAGTTTTCTCTCCCCTGAAATATGATCACCAATTAATTTGCCCTATTGAAAATCCCAAATATAAGAACTGGTTTTTAATCAATATTACAACGATGTTTACTGTGGAATCGCATTTTTTTCCTTCTTAAAATCCCCTAGGCATTCAACCTTCAGCTCCTTTATAATTAAGAGGGAATTGTCACCTCAAATGTTCATCCAGTGCAATTTGAAGTCAGAGTGCGGGGCAGTGGATTGAGAGCCTTCACTAAAAAAATGTCTGCCCAGAGACAGATGAGGTTCTTCAGCTCCAGTGCCGATTGGTTCCTTTCCAAGGGACCATCCAGTCCTACCAAGCACGGAAACATCACAGGTTTTTACTCTTTCTGGCAGGTACGTCAGATCCATCAGTTGCAAGCTGTGTTGACTACCACTACTTTTCCCTTCGTCTCAATTATGTCTTGGAGGAGGGCCTTGCGGATCCCTGGAGGACTTCGGGCAGCAACTGTGACCTTGATGCTGGTGATGCTGAGCACCCCAGTGGCTGAGGGCAGAGACTCTCCCCGTAAGTGCAGGGCAGCTGCTCTGGAGAGCCTCCACTCTGGGAACAGGCTCTCCTTGGGCTGGGATATAGGGGATGGTGACTTCTATGGTCTCGGACACAATCTTTTATCAACATTTCCTCTCTTTTGGGAAAGAGAGCTATGTTGCATTACCAATTATCTTTTAGTGATGAGGTGAGGACAATGCAATCCCCATCCTACAGGCTTAAGCCTGGAAGAGGAGGAGAGAGGAGAAGAAAGAGGAGACAAAGTGTACATTTACTACTAGTGATAGGACAAAGTGAGCATGGGCTTATTTTTGAAGACATGAATTTCTTCAAAGACACAGCAGGATTTGTCATTTCAGCGTGCCCCGTGACTTTGCCTGGACTAAATATTAGGAGATCCTGCGTTGGGAAATGTAAGGCAGCAATGGTGTCTACAGTCTCCGTATTTGAGGAAAAGTAGTCTGTGTTCCTGACTGAGTGGAGCGTTTGTGGAGGCAAAATCTTGGTACTGAGGGAAGCTGTCTGGCTGGCCACAGGCAGGGAGTCTTCAGGTTTCACTGATTTGTGGGCAAATGGTGACTTGAGTGGGATTCAGGGACCCACGCTGATGGTGGACTGAATTTAGCAGAAAGGAGGATGTAAAGAAGGGAAATAACACATATTGTGAAACCACTCATTTCGGACACAGGACAATACTTTATATAAATTCTCTCACTCCTTGTAACATCCTGTGTGTAGATATCATGATTTTCTTTTACACAATTATACTTGTGGTATGGATATTCTGTTACATAACCTGCGCAAGCTGGTGACTGCCACAATTTAATTGTAATCCAGTTCATCAAATTCAAAAGCTTGTGCTTTTTCCATGAATAAATATTTCTTTCTAGGACTCAGAGGTGTGGGTCCTTTCTAACACAGAAGTGAGTGAACCTCACACGGCACCTGGGAGGGTAAATCCAGGCATGGGAAGGAAGGTATTTTACCCGGGGACCAAGAGAATATGCGTATCAGAACGAGGACAGGCTTAATTCCTAGAGCTGTCTCGTCATTCTTTTGAATTCTCAGGTTTATGTGGATAACTTTATCTCTGACGTTCCCAGGAACATGGAACATGGGTTTTCATGCAAAAACGCCCTGATCCCTTTAAGTGTGGAGGTCCGTGTAAAATCAGCCCGACTGCCGCTGCTCAGTTCCGTTCACGGGCTGTGGCAGGGACAAGACTTTTCTCCCCTTCCCCACTGTAGGAAGGTGGATTCCCGAAGACGTCCGAGAGGCAGGGCTGGGCAGAGCCGCAGGGAGGGAGGATCCCAGGTCTGGAGCGCGAGGCCTTGGTCGGCGGGAACTGGAGGTGGCGCGGGCGGTTCCGGAGCTCCGGGCCGGGTCAGGGCGGCGGCTGCGGGGGCGGCGGGGCTGGGGCCTGACTGACCCGCAGGTGATTCCCCGCAGAGGATTTCGTGCACCAGTTTAAGGGTCTCTGCTACTTCACCAACGGGACGGAGCGCGTGCGTCTTGTGACCAAATACATCTATAACCGAGAGGAGTACGCGCGCTTCGACAGCGACGTGGGGGAGTATCGGGCGGTGACGCCGCTGGGGCGGCCTGACGCCAAGTACTACAACAGCCAGAAGGACATCCTAGAGGGGACCCGGGCGGAGCTGGACACGGTGTGCAGACACAACTACGAGGTGGCGTACCGCGGGATCTTGCAGTGGCGAGGTGAGCGTCGTCGCCCCTCTGCGAGGCCCAGCCTTGGCCAGGCCCGGAGTCTGCGCTGGGAGGGGCGAAGGGGGCGCGGCTTCTGGAACCTGAGCCCCTTTCCTTCCACCCCAGAGACACGAGGCGGCAGCGGGGGCGCTGGGGGCAGGTGCATCGGAGGAGCGGGGACCTAGGGCAGAGCGGAGGGACGGGCAGAGTTGGCCGGGCTGCCTAGTGTCCCCCCAGCCTCCCCGTGCGTCGGCCTCGTCCTCTGCTCCGCAAGTTCTCGCTCGTGCCATATGCGTTTTCCTCTTCGTGCCTTACCTTTGCTAAGAAGTTCTATCTGCACTGAATGTCCTCCCTCTTCCTCTGCCCACCCGCCCCGTTCGCACCGCCCCACCCAGCGAGGCCCACGTGCACAGCTCGAGCCGCAGGAAGCTTCAGGCTTGGCCTGGTGGAGATGGGGCTGCCCCACAATGGCCTGCAGGGCCTCCAGCAGTTACAGTTGTGAATTAAGATATTTTGACTTTTGGCTTCAAATCATTATTCATTGTAATTCTGTTTTCTTAAATGGCTCTCACTAATGTTAGAGATCCTTGAGGCGAGAGACTTTTAATTATTGCATGCCTGGTTCCTGACACTTTGATTGGTATCTGGTATGAGCTCAATGATCTTCTGTTAAATTAATGAATAAATGTACTCAGCTGCCAATCCACGTAGGTTCAAGAAAAAACAGAGGTAAACAGAGTCTTAAAAATGGACTTTATAAATTACTTTCTATCATTTTGCTTAAAGCTTTAAAGTAAACTCTTATTGACTTGGATCTTAATATAGTTTGTGAATACAAAGTCTGAGGAAAAAAGTGTTTGCTGAAAATAAAAACAACGTTTGAACGATGTTATAAGGCAGAGTTTTAATTTCTTAGAAAAGCTGAACAAATGGCACAATGCAAACTTCAAACAGATTGAAGCCATTAAATTATTGGATAAAAATAGTTTCAGGTTGCTTTTGGCTTAGGTTAATATCCACTTCAGGAATAAACATTCCAAAAGTGAATTTTACCCATTTAGTGAACACTTATTTCTAGACAGTTTCCTTATCAAATACCATCTATGTTATGTCATTTATTCTCTCACAGTTACTTGTGCATTAGAGATTAGCATCACCACTTTATATATCCCAATATTGGTACATGGCCCACAATTACTCACCAAGACCTTAAGCCTTCCAAAGTACACAACATTCTTTATGTTCTTCATTATAAATCTGTAGAGTCTAAGGGACATAAAGCCTTTTTAAAGCCAGTTTTGAATAGAAAAAGCAGCAATGAGTCAATTCCTGTTTCTTCTCCATGGTAATGGGACAAAATGATACTTTCAGGGCATTGAAAATTCACTGATTAATCAATCCGTAGTCTGACCCCAGTGTTATGTATTTAGGTTCACAAAATTTTTAGTTTATTTTGTACTCCCTTGCCTTCTTTTGACTCACATCCTACTGCCAGCAAGTACTTATGTTTTTGCTAGTTCAGTTCCATTTCCATAAAATCTATTTTATCATTTTTTCTCATAAATTTGTGCCTTTTATTTTTACACTCACTTCTGTTTAAGATGAACAAATCTTATAAAGCCACATAGCTGACTGTGATTTCAGTTGGACTTCAGGAAGGAGAACCTAAAGAAAAGTTCAAGTCCAAGCAGAAACCACATTCCTTCTGGATGATGGCTCCTGAGTGGCATATAGTTGGGATGTCACCTATACATTTGCTGAAGTCTGGGTCACACTTCAGCAAATCCCACTTATATTTATAGATTCACATTACAGACTCATTACCCCAGGCCAACCTCTGCATGGATCTCAGAATATTTTCTATGAAGAACATACATGATAATGTCTGATTCCAGAACAAGAAAGTAATTCTCAATAGCAAGGGAATGGAGTAGGGTAGACAGCTGGTAATTAAACTCACTTGTGTGTTAAAAAGAAATTAAAGAAAGAAAGAAAAGGAGAGAACATATTACTAAATAAAGAAAGCATACATTAAATATTTACTATAGTTTCACACTGAGAGAATAAAGGAAATGCAATAAAGTGGCCTGAAAGGTAAAGGATGAGATGTATAAAAGAGGCGGGGAAAGGTGTGACATTTTTTTACTGTGAGCAGCACTCTGAGAAGATAAAGGAATTGACTTATGGGCAAACATGGTGTTTGATCAGTGTTATTTGATTTCAAGGCCTGCCTACTTTTTTCAAATATTGCAAACTTTTGAAATAATATTCTTTTTGTTTTTTGGTATCTGTTACTAGATTGCACATTCTGTAAAAGCAGGGAGCCTAGTATGTTGTTTATCTTTGGATTCTCAATGACTGTCAAATTTATATTTGTTGAATGAACCATAATCCAAGACTTGGACTCCAGGTATCTTTCCATTTTGGTTCCAAGGAGAGATCCTTACTCATGGTAGACATGCTGTGTAGTCTCACATCTCACTCCTGTGTCTTTTCCTGTCCCTTATTGCCCTCAGTGGAGCCTAGAGTGACCATCTCCCCATCCAAGACAGAGGCCCTCAATCATCACAACCTGCTGGTCTGCTCGGTGACAGATTTCTATCCAGGCCAGATCAAAGTCCGGTGGTTTCGGAATGACCAGGAGCAGACAGCTGGCATTGTGTCCACTCCCCTTATTAGAAATGGTGACTGGACCTTCCAGATTCTAGTGATGCTGGAAATGACTCCCCAGCGTGGAGACGTCTACATCTGCCACGTGGAGCACCCCAGCCTCCAGAGCCCCATCACCGTGGAGTGGCGTAAGGGGTTATTGAGTTTCTGTACTATGGGCCCCACAAGATAAAGGGCAGAGCTCCTTCTGATCCATCCCTTCCCATCTCTTATCCCTGAATTCACTACTGAGCTGGGAATCAGTAGTGACTAGAGCACCTGTTGCTCCATGGCAAGTGCATCAGAAGAATCCTGATCTCACCACCTTTCCAGATGCTAGGGAAATCACTCTACATACTGTTGCTCTGGATCCCAGTCCTGATAGCCCTGAGGGACTGATTATTAGGGCTGGTGACTGGGATCTTAGGGTCTAAGGTTATAGATGAGTTCCTGAGGAGCGGAGATCTGCATCCCTGCTCTCTCACCTACTCACTGTATCCAAGGATCTGTTGGCCAGTCTTTCCTTCCCTTAGGGGTGGTCTGAATGGAGACCTAGATTCCTTTGATGTCTTCACCTTCTGCACCTCAGAATGGACTTCAGCTCCTCAGAAGGGATGCTCTGGGGTGTGGGAACAAACACTGACACTCAGTCTCTGCTCCTTAGGGGCTCAGTCTGAATCTGCCCAGAGCAAAATGCTGAGTGGCATTGGAGGCTTCGTGCTGGGGCTGATCTTCCTCGGGCTGGGCCTTATCATCCGTCACAGGAGTCAGAAAGGTGAGGAACCCCAGGGGACAAGGGGAGGATGGGCTGTGACTGAGACCCTCTGTTCAGAGAGGACCTGTCTCTAGATGTAGCTCTTTCCTCCTGACCCTGAGAGAAAGAAGTCTGGGCTGGAGGTGGGAGGAGACAGGACAAGATTGGAGAAGGCATTGGAATCTGATTTTACTGGGTGAATGGTAGTGCTGCCAGAGCTGACTGAGCTAATTCCAGGAGAGCCATAATTACCGTTCATCATTGTCCCACTGGCTCCTTAGAAAAGCTTCCTCCATTAAGAGGGTCAGAGCCTCCGCCTTCTTGCCTTCTAGTGACAATTTCCTTTGTTGTAGGGGATTTTAAACTAGGGTATTTAAGGCCTTGAAGAACATGGGCGGGAAGAGAATATAACTCTAATTGAGTCATTTTCCTTTGGGGTGAGAGAGTGGCTGTTTGTGTAACGAGAACTTTCTCTTTAAAACTTCCTTTTGTAGGACCTCAAGGGCCTCCCCCAGCAGGTAATATTTCAGCTGTGATCCAGTGTGGGGAGGGCACAGGTATAAGAGGGAAGAGCATGAGCTGAGTGTACCTGATCACAGTGGTCTCTGTTCATAGCCTATTTGCTGCTATGAGGATCAAGACTTAGGGGAGAAGTTTGCCAGTTTCTAGGAATCCCCAGAGATTGTTCCCCAGAACCAAGCCTTAGCTTTGGTGGCATCCTCTTGTGAAATGTGGGGGCAGAACCACAGCTTAAATGTTAGACACCACGATGATACCCACTTTGTGCCACATTTTGGTGGCTACTTCCTGTAGGCATTTTCCAGTGACTGAAAGAGGTCACTAGTGGCAGGGATGAGGTATCATCCAATTTCCTCAAAAGATTGAACCCTTCGTATTCCCCAGAAGAGCAACAGCTGTTCCCCCATCTCCCACACATCTGCATCAAGCTGAAGTTCTGTGTCCTCATGAGCTGATTTCACCTTTGCTCAGCTCTTGGGGGAGGTGATGATGCCACACCCTGGACCTCAGCTTTCTCTGTCTGAAGCCGCAGGGGGCCCCTGAGAGACGGGGGAGATGGCAGGCCCACCAGGGTACCCTGTGCTGATTATGCCTCGTCTCTCTTCTCCAGGGCTCCTGCACTGACTCCTGAGATGATTTTACCAGGGATGGGCTATCACTCTTCTGTAATGCCTGCTTGTC